TAATCAGTCAATGACAATAAATGACCAGCTTGGACCAATTAGAAATCAAGTTGACCAAGGTGGTCTTCCAGGTCAAAACCAGCTGGTAGTCCATCTGCCCTATCTAGACTTGCTTGGACCACCTACTGACCAGCTTAAACCACGTACAAACCATGTCGAAAGTAAGTAAAATTCTGTCATCATTTATTCACCCTGCTGTTGGTCTCAACAACAATAGACCCCACTGACTTTTATTTTATTTAGAAAATTTGCCCACAGAAGAATGAATGTCATAGAGAATTGAAATTTGATGAGAGCGAGTGAATTATTTTTTTATTGGATTTCCCATTGCATCATGACCAACCCAAAGATAGGACACACACAAAGAAACAAGCACAGTCATACGTCAGCGTCCCAGGTGCTTCTCGGCAGAGTTTATAAGCGAAAGATTTACAACCTCAGACTTAATATTAGATTCATTCATCTCTTCCATAGCATTCCACATTCTACTTCTAGACCAGATCACTCTGCCAATCTGCGAGCACTGTATCCATAAAGCACGTGGTAATAACTTGGATCGCTTCACTTGATGTCTCCCAGTGGGGTTCTGCCTCTTTGGTTTCTTTTCTTCCCTCCTTCCGGTTTTAACTAGGCATAATCTTGGTACTGCCACATCGAGTTTTCTCTGAGCAAGAACAGGTGAGGAGCCCTGTTTAGTCAGACGCCTCTGATGTCAGTGCTACCCATGCATCACACTCGATTCAGAGAGTTTAATCTGCAACAATAACCTTCTGTCTTCAGGGAAATTGCTTTCTGGGGCCGTAAAGTAAACAGGCAAAAGGTGTTATTCAGCATATCGAGAGAAAGTCGTGAACAGGAAAGGGTGTGCGTAGACAAGAAATGAATACAACGAACAAGAAAAGGAGGGGAAAGGCCGAGTAAACGGGGTGCGAACAATAGCAAACTGACCTTTCAGTCAGAGAACACACAGACAGATATTGAATGAGTCTCATTGTATTGGGAGAATGAAACTGCTGGCTTGTTAACGTGCTCCGAAGACGAACAAAGCTGTCATGGAAAGACATGGGGGTAAGTGATTAATGACAAAATTTTCATTTTGGGGTGGAGTAACCCTTTAAGCCAGCTTCAAGTTGCATACCGCCTGACCTTTAATCTGATGCATAAACAAGAGGCTGGGGAAAGCGATCCCTCATCATCCTCCCTTCTGTTTAGGGAGGCGAGACATCTCCAGGAAGAGAGGCTTGACTGTGCGCTATCTCTCAAACAACTTGGGCCTGTCCTTTAAAGGGTTACTCCACCCCAAAATGAAAATGTTGTCATTAATCACTTACCCCCATGTCGTTCCAAACCCGTAAAAGCTTCGTTCGCCTTCGGAACACAATTTAAGATATTTTGGATGAAAATCGGGAGGTTTGTGACTGTCCCATTGACTGCCAAACAATGAACACTGTCAAGGCCCAGAAAAGTATAATAATAAAGTCGTTATATTATTATTTATAATAAATAAATAATAAAGAATAATAAAGTCGTTATTTTTGTTTTCTTTGCGTACAAAAAGTATTCTCGTAGCTTCGTAAAATTACGGTTGAACCACTGATGGCAGATGGACTATTTTGACGATGTCTTTCATACTTTTCTGGGCCTTGACAGTGTTAATTGTTTGGCAGTCAATGGGACAGTTACAAACCTCCCGGTTTTCATCCAAAATATCTTAAATTGTGTTCCGAAGACGAACAAAGCTTTTACGGGTTTGGAACGACATGGGGGTAAGTGATTAATGACAAAATTTTCATTTTGGGGTGGAGTAACCCTTTAAGCCAGCTTCAAGTTGCATACCGCCTGACCTTTAATCTGATGCATAAACAAGAGGCTGGGGAAAGCGATCCCTCATCATCCTCCCTTCATACTCTACCGCCTCCTCACCCACCTCCATTGTTTGGCTTATGGGTGCATTTGTTTTAATTGCCACCGCTTTATTGACGCAAATTGCTGCAGGTCTTCACACGGGTGCATTTGTTCTAATTGTCGCCGCTTTATTGACGCAAATTGCTGCCGGTCTTTGTGAGGTCTTGTTTAGCCGGGCTCTGTGGCTGACGTTGATGCATACCTGGAGGTATTTATAACCCACACTATACCTGATGTCAAGCATGCGCTGAGACTAATCATGTGCGGTGGTGTTGGAGTGTTCATGGACTCCACCGAAAAGATTTGTCTTCTTTTGTAAGGGAGGATTGAATAGGGAGAGTAAACGAGATGGGCAGTCGCCAGCACTTAACGCACATGGGTGCTCTTTTACGATTCCAACTACTAATTTTTCAGTGCCACTTTTGCAGGAATTTCACACCAGATCGTCCAAAGACGCCAATTGTAATTGAACTGCTGCGTATGTGGTCTTAAGTTCTCCAGTTCATCTAATAGCATTGTCATTTGAACCTCATTTCATGAGTATAGCGACTTGATCTGGTTCAGCTTAGTTCCTCTACAACAATTCCATGTTTTAATTGTTTGCCAATCTTGTAATTTCCTAATTTCCGTATGACTCATATTGGTCTTGTCCACATCTCTGGTTGTAAAAGTTCACTTTTCATTTTCTAAATAGACGTCTTTAACCACAATGGAACATCATTGGAGGTTGGTCATTTGGTTTGTTTAATGGGTTGATCACAAGCCTCAGCTGGTTGCCGAACTGAGTGACTCAGTTTATGGTCGCTTTAACCTTTCCAGGGTCTCGCTTAGGCATTTATGACCAAATCTCTGCTGTTTGTTTTGGAGTCAGAGGATTCAGAGGAAGGCAGGAGGATTAAGCTAATGGAACCATCCCTGTTCATCTCCTAATGGATAAAGAAGGGAATAGATACAACACAGGCTTTAATAGGAGTGTAGAATGATGGTTTAGTGTCAAGACTGGAGTCCACCGTCTCCTGAAAAACAAGCTGTAATCCAATCATACGGCTAAATCTTTGATGTTAGCCATGCCTGTTACATGCTACTGCAGATAGTTTACATCAGAATTAGGTTTCCTAATGAAAATATAGTGTTATGAATAAGATTAGAGCATATTTATTTGCAGATATCCCGTCTATTGTTCTTTCTACCAAAGCTTTGTTTGCCAGTTTCCTCTTTACTGCTCAAAACTTGTTAGCGTTTCTCTTGCCGTGAGCGTAGACACCAGGCGCATTGCCACCCGATGCTAATGTGTAATCACACGTTTACAGGAGCTAATGGCCAAATTAATTTCCCCTCACAGATGTGTGGTAATGGCAGAGTGATTTGTTTGTTTCTCTCAGGCTTTGACTGCTTTGTGTGGAAGTTGCAGCTGAGAGTGGTCATCAAAAGTCTACAAACTTTGTCTATGACAAATGTCTACGATTACTGCAATTGAATCTCATCACACACACTCGGATATTATTTGAAGTATACAAGACAGCAAAGACCTCATGTCTCGTATGCAGTTTCCTCCAAATGTATCGTCCTTAGCTTCATTCATCCTTCATCCGCTTGATGTTTCTTTGAGAACAGCTTTTTTTTTTTTTTTTTTTAAGTTTCTACTTTTGCTAAAATGTCAGTAAATGTCAGTGGTTGAAGTTGATACGCTTTGCACATTTTATGATAAGTTATCAAATGGCATTTAAAAAAAATCTTACTTTTAGCCCAAAACTCTCATATTGATATCATCTCACTTTTAAAAATGGATTTGAAACGCTTTCCTGTGCCTGTTTTAGTGGATTATTATACTTGGTAATGGTGAGTACACTATTTTAATGGACACATATAAGATTTGGCCCTTGAAAAAGCGAGTAGATTACCTGCCTGTATTTGCAACACCAAATGCACACGGCTCAATGATTCGCTTAATTTACAACACTTCCATTTTCTCCGCCTTGCAAATGCATTTGATGGCCTTCAAGATCTTCCACCACCAAATATGAATATAGGAATGGGGCGTTAAATGAAGTAAAGCTAATACAATTGATTCTAATGGCTGCATGGAACAACAGAAAAAGGATGTTCAGTCATCACCGCTCATACGATTCTTATTCGGCTCCATTTGGTTTTTATGGCAGGCCATTTAGCGGCAGTTTTAATGAAGGGTGATTGGCAATGTGTCGGAGTGGCCATTTCAGTCAGTGGGCTGTTCCTGCTTGCGATCTACAATTATGAGCACATTTAGACCAGACATCTCATCTTAAGTAAGCTATCAGCGTCAGTGTAGGCTTAGCCACCTGTATCAGCTCCCTACAGAGATGACATCTCCGTAATTCATCCGTATGCTGAATTGCCAATCCGTATGCTGTTCTTTTATTTATTTTTCTTGGTGTTCCATATTTTTGCAAGCTTAATGTTTTACCTCTTTGTGTTCTCAATGAGTTTTTTTCACCCCTTCTTTGAGGATTTCCTTCCTCAGTTCTCCCTCGCTCGCTCTCTGTATAAATTAGCCGTATTATCAGACAGGATGTTGTATCATAATGAGGGGTTTGTCACCAGCAGCCCGTGTGGTGGAGTAGATAAAAAGCGGGGCTTGATTAGCGGGGCGAGGCATATTGATTCCTATTGACGGTCACTTTCCCCAGCTCTTAATGAAAGGAATGCAAATGAGTCTCTCTGGGTTCTCTAAAGGGGCGCAGGGCTGAGATGTGGGCCTTTGACTCTCTGTCATAGGAGGGACATGTATCATTGGCCATGGTTCACTGGGCAGTCCTTTGCGGAAATGTTTGGTCCGTTTCATGTTCTCAAGATGCCGGCGAGCGCAAGCCAAATGTGGAAAAAGTAATGGACTGTGTCCGTACGTGTAATTTAGCAAAATGGATAGGGGCACATGGGCTCAAATGGTGCTTGTGCTATTGATTCAGGAAACAAGCTGTATTCTTGTAAGGATACGAGCTGTACTGTGCCTTATTCAAGTGCTATCGTCTGTAGTGTACCATCTGGTCTTTGTTCTTCTCATGTTGATGTCAGGACCAATGGTGATGGCATAAATGTTTTTCCTCTCTCCTCTATAGCAACCGTCTGGCACCCAGCAACCATGACCGGATACAGCGTCTACGACAAGAGTTCCAGCAGGCCAAGCAGGAGGAGGAACCTGATGACCGCCGTCGATCCTACAGCTTTCAACAACAACAGAGGGTGAGTGTGCAAGACTACTGTATAAACCTCAGTTTAGCATGTGCACCCTTACCCTGACCCTTAAAGCGTCTCAGCATGCACCTCTGCAAAAGTAACACTTTATCTCTTTCATCTCATTACGCAGGCTACACCCTACGGAGATCACATTTGTCAGCTGGATACATCATCGAGGGTGTCTCATCTCAGAAAGTAACCATTATAAAACATACATGTACTGTAATTTATTTTTTTTTGGAATGTAATGGTTACTTTTCTGAAATGAGCCAGTGTCAATGACGTATGTGGCCGACAAATGCAAACTCTTCCAAATGAGTCACAGCATTTAAGTCAGCTTGGTGTTTGGTGTTCAGGGCAAAGAGTGACATATATTATAATGAGATATTGTCAAGGATCTCAGATAACACATGAATGGTGTTTGTTCTGTGAGGTGGGGGGAAAAAGTGCATTTGTTGTTAGCTTGCATATCACAAGTGCATCTCACAGTTTATTTGCCCCCAAACTTGCTTGTATTTGTTAGGTCTGCACAGAGGTGAATGTGTTTTAACATTGTGTCCTTGAAAGTCAGTGCTTCATTTTATTAACTGAGGTTAGAGGCTAGCTGTTATTTTATCTTTATCAGCAAGTTCAAATAATATACACTGCTCAAGAGGATGGGAAAGAAGTTGCAAGGGGTCAAAGTTCAAATAGCTGTGTATCTTTACTCTGTAATGGCCTGAGCCAGACATGGCGGCCTGTCCTATGACTTCCTGTTAAGGGTATGGAGGGGGATTTTAAAAGGCTAATTACCTCGAGGAATAGAACCATTTCCTAAATTAGAGGTCAGCTCTCTGACCCTGTCTTCTCTGACACATATTTGGCCTCCATTTTCCTCTCAGGTCTTGAATAGCTCTACAGAGATTAGAATGTGTTAAACTCAATTAATGCATTAATGTTCTGATTCACTCAGATCAGTGCAGAGAGAGAAAAAAAAATCTGCATCTTAGACAGAAAGATTAATGATGGAGGCGTAATGAAAATGCAATCGCTTAAAAGGTGAAGCATTTATAAAATATTGCAAACGTTTTGCGCAAATCTGTAATGAAAACCCGGCTACTGACACATGCTGGGGTCTTGTGGTTTGTTGCCAGGGCATTGCTAGGGCATTCTGGAATGTTGCTGAAATATTGCTTGGTGTTTGCTTGTGTGTTCAGGGTGGCTGAAGAATGTTACATGGAATGTACGCTAGAATATTGTTACGTGGTTGCTAGGGTGTTCTTGGTGAATGCTGGGATGCAAAGTTGTATTTGGTGTTTGCTAGGTGGCTGCTAGGGTGTTGCTAGGGTATTCTAGGTGGATGTTAGGTAGGTTGTTGCCTGGGTAATTGCAAGGGTGTAGTGGGTGTTTAATAGGTTGTTGCTAGGGTTTTATTAGTGGGTCCAAGAGTATTCTGAGTGGTTGCTAGGATGTTGCTAGGTAGGTTGGGTGTTCTGGGTGATTGTAGGGATGTAGTGGGTTTTTATAGATTGTTGCTAGGTTTTTTTTGGTGGTTGTTAGGATATTCTGAGTGGTTGGTAGGGTATTATGGATGGTTGCTAGGTAGGTTTTTCTTGGTGGTTGGTAGAGTATTCTGAGTGGTTGCTAGGTAGGTTGTTGCTAGGGTGTTCTTGGTGGTTGGTAGCGTATTCTGAGTGCTTGCTAGGGTGTTCTGGATAATGTCGAAGGTGTGTTGGGTATATGCTAGGGTGTTATGAGTGATTTCAAAGGTGTGCTGGGGGGTTTGCTAGAGGTTGCTAAGATGTTGCTAGGTGGTTGTTTACTGGCTCAAGTCAAAAGTGCCCAGCCCCAAGTCTCTAGAAATAAGTTGGATCTGTCTGTGTATGGGTTTTTAATCACTGCTAATGACAGATATTTAATAAATAAATATACTTAATGACAGTTCATTTTTGCCCAGTTATGACAGCAGGTAAATCTCAAGTGAGTGTTTCACTTCAGAAGTACACATGGTCTCCTAAGCAACGGCTTTTATACTTGGAGATATGCACTAGCTTTTATTTGACATAGCCTTAGCTGGTCTGTTTGCAGTATGAATGAATCAAAACCTCTCTTGGTACCTGAGGGTGTCACATTGTCTGGGCTTCTAGTACAGGAAGTAAAAGCCCTGTTGTTTGCACAGCGCCAAACCAGAGGAGTCAAGCTAGAAACCACCTAATTGCTTGTGATAGTTTACATTGTTTAAGGACTAGAGACATTTCCCGTAATAGAGTACACTCCCTCCCTCGAGTGTCTCAAGTCTACTGTATTAACGGCTGACGGGTCGGCTTCTCAGTTTGGACAGGACTGGTTTCAAATAACAAAACATGTTAGATGGGACCCAGGGAATGCCTTTGAGTCTTTCAGGGTATTATAAGAAGGGCGAATTTCCTGAAGACCGCGGTTTCGATGTCAAGCATGACTTTTTTTCGACGGCACTGTTGCTGTACCCAAGTTGTGTCAAGGGGATGTTGAAATACAGGCACATGCTGGTGGTAATTTTTTGTGAGGGAAAACTCCCTCCAGCTTTGAAAAGGTGGGAAAAATCATGCTAAAATTGCTCCGGCTTAGGTTTTGTGTATTGTATGGCATGTTGGGCCAACACAACCAATAAATGGTTATTACAGCACTAAAAGCTTGTGTCAAACAATAGCGGAGAGGTGTGTGTTAAGGATGTAACAAAGTATTCAAGTCCCAATGTCTACGGTGGTTATGGTTCGGCTAAAAAAAGTGTAACACTAAGCTTTCACATCCCAAGGAATCAGGTGGTCTAGGTGTTTTATCCCTGGATTGCATTAGAATCACACACACTCCATCAAAGCGAATACAAACAGGCTTGACGTTGATTTAGGGTCTGAGAGGGCCCACGAGCGTTGTGGTCCTGTTGACTTGTAGAAATATACAGCCGTCAGTCGTAACAGCAGGTTGAGAGAATGATGGTTAAGCAGGGTAAGAGAGCGCACGGGAGGCGTTTGTAGCCATAGCAGTCTTGTTGATACTGCTGCCATAAGCTTGATATAATGACGTTATAAAACTGTCAAAATAAAGCTCCTCTGAGAGCATCTAGAATTTTTTGGGGGATGATGTGATGACACAGCCGAAAACTTGTTCAACATCAGATGAGTAATGCAACGTTTTTATAAAGTGCCATTGAATTGCCATAACATTTTGGATATGATTACTTATGGTATTACCATTACATACATACATACATTCATTATTTATATTTTATGTTGAGATACAATGGGTTTTTGACATGGACTTTTTATATTGTAATATAGTATGTAATAGTATTGAAAAGTGTGATGGAATCCCATAGTGGTTTTTATGTAGTTTATATATGTTCAATAGCAATATATTAGCAATAATATTTCTCTCAAGTTGCCATAATTTTCGTGATGTCTACCATAGTTAGACAATTTTGTTGTTGTTGTTTGAATGCCACGTTTATTCCAATGATACTGTGTTTGTTTGTTTGATTTCTTTCACAAATACCATGGTAATACTGTGGCATTCTGAATTTTTATTTGAAGTACTTTTTAAATACAATGGGATATGATAATCATACAGTATCATGGTATGCTATTATCATTTGATGCTATCACTGTACTACAGTATTGCATTTTGCATTTTTATGGCTATGAAAAGCATTAATTACCATTTGTGACCACCTAGCTACAGGTACTCAGCACATTTTGGAGGTTTCTTTAGCATTTCAAAGCCTGCCGGTTGTTATTTATAGCTTTGATTATAAATACCGTACATTACACCATTTAGAAATGTCCCTCAAGTGCAACAGAAAATCAAAGTGGCATGAAACAATGATTGATTGCCTTTTAAATATGTAGCTATGTGGTAAAACTCCCAACTTTACATCAAACGCCTCTCATTTCTTTATGAAGAAAAATGGGTAAGTACACCCCAGATAATCCTTCAAACCCAGCGTGAGTTCTGACAGCACGAGATGCACATTAGGACAGTGATTAAGGTGTGTTCTCAGCGTTCACAATCCCCCCGAGGACTGAAAGAAACCCGTCATCAGGTTTTTATGTGCGACGACGAGCTGCCAACCCAGATCGCTGATAATCGCCCCGTGGCCAGAACCTGTCACAGACCTCCACCGGTAAACAGACCAATTAGACGTGTCTTGTTATGCCTCTCTTGTAAATCACGCCCAGCGTTTCTCGTTATGACTTTCAAAGGGGCTTTTCCAGATGTTTGTCATAAAGAGCATGTTCCTTCCAGAGGCTTGCCGCCCTGTCTCAGCCAATAAAAATCAATCTTTTCTTAAGCCGATCGGAGGCCACACAAGAGACGGAAGTTTTATGTCGGTGCCTGGATCACATGCATGCACAAATGCTTTCATTAGGCCCATATTTACGTGCTTTTCTCCTCTTTTACAAGGACCTCGGTGCTGGCAAGCATTCAGGCAGCCTTCATGACTGGAAAGAATGCCATTGATTTCAGGATTCAGAGTAACCAGCATGTTTTCTTTGATTATGAACTGCACAGGAAACCAGGCGTGATTTCCACAGTGTGGAATCAGAGAACTCGCGTCTTTGTACAGTCGACCCACTGCAGCCAAAGGTCGGATGAGGTTATCTCTCAATGCTGCAGGAACACACCGTAAGCTCAGGGAACAATGGCTGCATGTAGGCGAAAAGAAGTACACAACACGATAATGAGCCTACAGTGGGTAGATAAATCCACTGCAGCTCGAGATTAGTGTCCCTCCAGTGAAATATACGTTGATTGCCTTCCTACTGTTATATATCCCTTCACGTTAACCAGATTTAGAACTAGATGATAAAACTGAGATTACCTACAGGGGATGTGGGGACTATATCTGTTCTGAATACTGAGCTGAACTCGGATCCCGATGTAATGCACAGTCAATGCTTCACGTTTGTTTTAAGTCTGAGAGGCTGCAAAAAAACTGTTAATATTGAAATATCAGGTTGATAATACAAAGCTCTTTCTAAACTGGTGGTTACACTTTATTTTAAGGTGTCCTTGTTACATTGTAATTATACAATTTAGTACTGAGTAATATTAATTATAAATTGTACTTGCTATATGGTAAGGGTTAGGATTAGGGTTTGGTGTAGGGTTAGTTGCATGTGATTATGCATAATCTACTGTTATTACAATAATAAGTATGTAACACGTGTAGCAAAGGCACTAAAATAAAGTGTTACCCACGTTCAAATATCCTCTGTAAAAACATCTGGGAGGTTTCTAAGGTGTTCTGGGTGTTTAGTGTGTTAAATGCAGTGCAATTTATGTAAGTTTGGTTAGTTTCTAAGGTGTTGCTAGGTGGTTTTTACGGTGTTCTGGGTGTTTTAGTGTGTTACTATGCACTTCTGGGAGGTTTCTAGGGTGTTTCTAGTTGGTTATTGGGGTGTGGGGTGTTCTGGGTGTTTAGTATGATAAATGCAGTTTATGTGGGTTGCGTTGGTTTCTAAGGTGTTGCTAGGTCATTATTAGGGTGTTCTGGGTGTTTTAGGGTGTATTCACACCTGTCTTGTTTGGTTCAATTGAATCGAACTCAAGTTCGTTTCCCCCCTTGGTGCAGATTTGACTTTTGGGCAGGTGTGAATACAGCAAACAAACTCTGGTACGGTTGAATGGATAAACCAATGAATGGATGACCTTAAGCACACATGTGGTTTTGTTTACAGTTTCTGGTTCACTTGCAAAAAGGGCAGTGTGAAAGCAAACTGCAGCAAACCAAAAAAATCAACATTGTATTTGGTCCGGACCAAAGAAAGTGAACTAGCGGACTTTCCTGGTGTGAATACACCCTTAGTGTAGTAACCAGGGTCTTTTGAGAGGTTACTAAAGTGTTGCTAGGTGGTTATTAGGGTGTTCTGGGCATTTAATTATGTTAATGTTTCTAAGGTCTTCTGGGAGGTTTCTAGGGTGTTTCTAGGTGGTTGTTGAGGTGTTCTGGGTGTTTAATATATTAAATGCAGTTTATGGGGGTTGGGTTGGTTTCTACGGCGTTGCTAGGTTGTTATTAGGGTGTTCTGGGTGTTTTAATGTTGTACTATGCAGTTGCTAGGGTCTTCTGGGAGGTTTCTCGGGTGTTCTGGCTGTTTTAGTATGTTAAATGCAGTTAATGTGGGTTGAGTTGGTTTCTAAGGTGTTGCTAGGTCATTATCATTGTTCTAGGTGTTTTAGTGTTTTATTGTGCAGTTGCTAGGGTTTTCTGGGAGATTATGAAAGTGTTACTAGGTTGTTATTATTAGGGTGTTGTGGGTCTTTATATATGTTACTATGCATTTTTTTATTTATTTTTTTTGTCTTTGAGGTTTTTGAACGGTTGCTTGGTCATGTTTAGGGAGTTCTGGGAGATTTATAAGGTGTTGCTAGGTGGTTATTATGGTATTCTGTGGTGTAGTGTGTTACTATGCAGTTACTAGGGTCTTCTAGGAAATTTCTGAGGGTTTTCTAAGTGGTTATTAGGATGTTGTTAGTGTGTTGCTATGGTGTTGTTAGGGTGTTTTTGATGGTTGCTAGGCGGTTACTATGTACTTATGCGGGAGTTATTCATTGTTGTTAGTGCTTACTGTTTTTAGAGGTTTTGAGGTGGTTGCTATTCTGTTGTTATGGTGTTTTGTATTGTTGCTAGGTGATCATTGCAGTATTCTAAGAGTTATATTGCATTGCTTTGCTGTTGTTAGGGTGTCCTAGGTGGTTGCTAGGTGGTTGCTAGGTGAGTATTAGGGTGTTCTCAGTGTTGTTAAAGCATTGCTTTGCTGGTGTTCTTGGTGGTTTCATGAGTGTTGCTGAGTGGTCACTAGGGTGTTTTATTGTGTCGCTGTGCAGTTGCTAGGGTAGGTGTTGTACTGTTTTTGGGGTGTTCTAGATGGTTCCTAATGTGTTGCTAAGTAGTTATCAGAGTGTTGTTTATGCTGTTGTAAGGTATTTTGGATGGTTTCTAATGTGCTGGTAGGTGATTTTTAAAGTGTTCTTAGTCCTATTGGCAAGTTGCTTTGCTGTTAAGGTATTCTAAGTCATTACTAGAGACTTGCTAGAGGGTTCTGGGTTTAAATGCTATAGATAAACCTTCCTTGGTGTACAAGAACTTGAGCAGAAAAGTGAAGTTTCTAAGTGATGAGAGGAATGATGTGTCTATAGCTCAGGGTTGCCAGGTCTGCGTAACAAAACCAGCCCAATGGTACTCAAAACTAGACCAACTGGGTTACGGGAGAAATTGACTATTAAAATCACTATCTGGAGAGCTTCGCTTCAACCTGCGGACTTAAAAAAAACCTCCGGCAACAGTATAAAAGTAGCCCAATTTCATGAGAAAATCATGGACTTGGCAACACTGCTATAGCTTTCAATTTTTATAGCTTCACTTTCAAATGTTCTGTCTATTTTCCTGTCCTTCGTTTTAATTTGAGACACAGACACCTCAGTGTTGTCATAAATTGCTAATTATGATACATTTTTGCAGAATGACATATGCATTTTCTATTCCCTCTCTTATTTTTCCCTCCTGCTTTCTGTCCTTTCTTTATCTCTTTTTTTTTCCTGCACTCACCCAGTCAAGTGCATCAGTTCTAAAATTAACTCCATATGTCGGAGCAGGTTTCTGGAAGTGGTTGAGCATATAGTGCAGTAAACAGTGTTGCACATGGAGCATGTATGTGTGTGTGTGTTGTGTTTGACCCCCCTGTGCACCGCAAGCCCAGCCCATCTTTGATATTAAAGGCAACGGGTCACACCGCATGGTAATCGTAACGATTATACATGATTTGGAAGTCTGGGACCGGGAAGTTCTCCTCGTCGTCCAGCTGTTTCATGCTTACTTGCTCAGAATTGATGTGGTCAATTTTTCATAATTATGTCTGTCTCTCTATCAGGCCACTTTTTGTGTTTGTTCAGGTGGGCTTCGTATTGTTGTATGTGTTCTGTGTCTGAAAAAGAGGGGGGAAAAATATAATTTCTGTGTAATTAATGGGAGAAAGTGCCATGTGCTGTCTGGAGATCTCATGAAAATGTCATGCTTTCATGTTTTTATAAGGATTGCAGATGAACTTTAAATTATCAGCCTCTACATGCAGGGTAGAACAGCAATTAAATTAAAATGTGATTAAATTAGTACTGTGTAAGTTCATTGTGTCTTGCTACTGGTATTTGATGATTTCATTTATTTTTAGGTAACAGTCAGAATTTGAAAGTGAGATTGTGTGTGTACAGAAGAGGATTGACAACCATATTTATCTCTAGTGTGTATGTGGCTAGTGGCATATCAGAAGACACACACACACACACACACACACACACACACACACACACACACACACACACACACACACACACACACAGACACAGCTGATTTTTGCTTGCTGCAGTTTCCTCTCAGTCCAAATCTCATTAAAACATCTAACTGTGAATAATTACTTCATTGTTGCTTCTAGCTCGCAATAAAGGCATTTCCTTTTCTCTGTTTTTGGCTTAATATGTTGCCAGCGAAGAAATTTACCAGGCCTTTAGCTATTAAAATGTGTCTCAGAAGGGATTTTGCTCGGCCTTCATCAGACATGGCTAAAATTGCCTGATTCTCCAGTTTGCAGTTAAACCATAGCCGTAATGTTTAATTCTTCTGTTTTTCCCATCTTATGAATCGTTTAAACGTTCGCCTCACCGCATTAATGCAGCATTTGTCATTTTTGCCAAGTCAGCTGTTTGTAGCACAAGTGCACTCGAGGCTAATTGCGTTCGGGTGTGGTAGTCATGTTTCTCATTAGTACACCTTGCGCTGTTGGAAGAATCGGTAGTGATCAAGTGCCCCTCAAGAATTAAAAAAACCCCACCTGACCGTGAATTGTAAAATTATGCTGTGCTTGTTAAATTTTGTACACTTGTTAACTCGGTCAGTGCAAACATATAGTGTTACACCTTCCTACACATAATCACTAACTAATCACGTCACTAACAAACAAAAAGAAAAGCCTGTATTTCTTAAAAGGATCGTCATTTACTCTGCCTGAATTACTTTTCTTTTCTGTCGAACACACAATTTTAAAATGCTTTATTCTGTTGTTATAATATTTGTGTGTAACTGGAATATGCATTTTCATATTTCAGAACAACACGGGTTCTTATACACCGACGGGGCGGCACTCGGTTTCTGTGGAGGAGCAAATGCAGAAACAGAGAGAGGACAGAGACTCTTTCACACAAGCCCAGAGGCAGTACAACTCCTTACCGCGGTAAGAGAAGCCAAACAGAGCCGTCACTGCACACGATATCTCAGATTCTCTTATCTGTTAACCACACATTGTCTCTCACAATAACACTAAATTAACAATATTTGCACAAAGCACTGAAGCCCTTTTTCATGCATAACTTTTGGAGTTAAGAAGTAAAAAGTAGTTTTAAATGAAATAAAATGTAGCATATTAGCATATGTACATTAATTTTATAATAATAATATTATTATTAATATTATTATTATTTAACTTGAATAATTTTAATGCCTTTTTGGCAGGACATTGACCTTGCTGCAACATGTAAATAATACATAAAGCGTCATATCATACCATTATTATGATGCCTTTATAATACTTTCCTGTTACATTTTGTAACACTATTCCTTACATTCAAGGAATAAATCTCAAATACGAGTACATGAGTTGCCGGATCGCCTAGAGCAAAGCAATGAAAAGTGATGCTTTAATAAATTAATGCTAATAAATCAGCCATAACCCAAATATGCGTGCAATCTTATTCCCACGTCTCTCACACTCTGTCTGACCTCAGTGGCATTTCTCCGCTGAAGTCATCCCATTGTTATGCGGTCGGTTCTGTCTTCGCTCTAAGCCTTCGGAACAGCAACAGCGTCTGTCTTCATGCTCACATGCCCCTCCTAAACCTAATAAAGATCAGCCCGAGAACCTGTTTGTTGAGGAAAGTTTATCTTGGCAACCTCAGTTTATAGGGCCCCCCTTTTTCGGATGGATATCAGCCCCGTCCCTCATCTGTTTTATCTGCTTTCTCTCTTTTTTCTTTCCCTCCCCTTTGCATATTTATCATAAATGTCAATAAAGCTTAGAATGTTGCCTGCGGGCTGAGTTTGATATCGGCGTTTCTACTTGCAGGCATTGGTATCTTCTTAATCTGCTTCAGTTCATGCAAAGCATCCAGCCAACAGACATGAGAAGAAAAAATCCTGCATTAGAGCTTTACATACTTAACTGACAGGGGTGGGGAACTGCCGGCGCTGCCGATAAAGTTTCACTCAATATTTCAGTACATTTATTTACAGCACAGCAGGAAAAACGGCATTTTTAAGTTTTCTGATGAAAACGTACGAGCTCAAAAGTTGCCTTCACAATGCAAGGGTGTCGCCAAGGTTCTGCTGAAGTGGTTTGTTAGCCACAAAAGAAATCTTGAAGGCTGACATCGAAGCTTAGTCTCTATGACACATTCTCCCGTTTGTCTGCCAGGCAAAAAATTGCGAATCTGATCAAATTTGCGATCACACTTCTTAACAAACTGCTCATTTTAATGTACAAACTCCAAGTTACGTGCAGAAGTTTAAACAGTGTAATTTATATGGTACCAGAATTGCAAAAGGCTTATTTTGCTATTGCCAAAGTTTGGGGTCTTTTTTAAAAAAAAATTTAAATAATATAATATTACATTGATACTTTTATTCACCAAGAATGCATTAAATGCTATTATTCAGATATTTTGTTCATCAAAGAATCTTGGAAAATAATAATAATAACAATAAGAAAAGAAAAGAGATCAATCAAAGAGCATATTAGAATCATTTCTGGAGGATCATGTCACACTGAAGACTGGAGTAACGATGCTGAAAATTCAGCATTGCCAGTACAGAAAAAAAATTAAAAATAAATAAAATAAAATAACCTTGTTAATTACATAAAATAACATATTGATTTAATCATTTAAGTGTATTTATTTATTTTTTTCATTTATTTATTTATTGAATTAATTAATGGGTGTTAGGAGAATATAGGCAAAAAAAAAAAAAAAGCAAACAATATTTTGTCTGTGGAAAAAATTTTCATTTAAATGGGATTAGAAGAGAATAAGAAGTCCAAAAAAATGCATTTCACCTTTATTGCTTACGTTTAGCATTTGTTCAAGTCTATAACCCTAAGTCTTAACAGTACAGACATGAAAAAAATAAAAATAATTAAATAAAAGAAATACATGTGTTATTTTTATTTTAATGCCATTCAATTTGCCTTAGTATAAGATTGTGGTATGTGGGTATTCTGAACTGGAATTATTGGGAAATGTCTAAAGTGTGTGTGGTCTAACATGCATGGCGCTTGTTTTTATTGGCTTTGGGAGCGGTGTAACCAGGATATGTACAATTACAGAATTAGTCCCCCCTCAAGCAATGACAAAGCCCAGCGCACACCGCAGAACGGAGGGGGGCCTTGCATCAGAAATCCCAGATTCGTCCATCGTTTTTTCCCTTCTATTTCCCAAGACAGTAGAGGAAGTCCTACGGTCGATAGAGAGGTTGATATTCACTACTCCACACTACGTGGACATAATGACAATTAATCAATTCAACCAATCAGCTTCCACTATTTCTCACTGCTTTAAGCATCGTCAGTGTCGCTGTCTATATTGAGCGAACTTTAGACAAAAACTCCAGATTTGCGAGGAATCCGCCGACTGGTTCCTGGCGGAGCTTTGACACTTTCCCTGGGGAAACTCCACACGGACAGCGACCCTTTGATGAGCATTCCACTCATAATCTCATACCGTCGGTCAAGCAGGGTCAAGCTGGTGTGAAATGACCCCTGTCCTCTGGAGGACCCGGCAGAGATGCGCACTCATTAGTAATGTAAGGATTTACTGGAACGCCATCCCTCCACCAGTCATAAACCAACGAGGATTAATCAACAGACACATGGACAGACTGTGGATTATAAGCAAGCTTTATCAGGGATCCAACTATGTGTTTACACTGTAGATTCAGATTTAGCACTTGGCTAATGAAGGGATTCTTTTTTAAGAGGTGGATTAGACGGAAAGAAAGGGAGGAACAGAAAATGGCAGATAAGCGAAGTGTACGCTGATTAGCAGTAATGAAAGTCATGTGAAACAGAGCGCAACTTCATGCAACAGCTGCACGTTATAATAAGGCAACACTCACAGAGATAAGAGGAGGGTCCCGCGTTCCAGCCTCTCGTTCTGCTTTCTGTTAACAAATAGAAAATATTACTCAAGGTGTTGAGATAATATTGTTCTCTGTGTGCATAGCTGTTGTCCTTTTGATAAACTGTGATGCACACCAGCTGTTTCTCAGATACTCACAAACACTAGCTCTTACAAAACAATAAAATAAAAGTAAAATACTTCTGTCATTAATGTCTTTAGCTGTGTTATGATATGACATTATCATAGAGATATGCTTATTATTTCGCATCACTTTATCTACATGTGAATTGTGTAGTTGTTGCCCCACTGGCATCAGAATAGCAAAAATAATGACTGTTTTCAAAAAGGTTTCCCAAATGGTCTCCCCGAACAGACAGAAAGCCCCGCCCCAAACTCCTGCCATTAGTTGAGCTGTTGCTATGTTGGGCTGGTCGGGATTTCAAATCTTTCAAATACATCTACAAATGTTGTACTTATAGTTGTCTCTACTTATTAACTTGAAATAGGAGTAATTTAAACTTAAAAATATGACACGTTTCACTGTTGTGCATTAGCTAACAACTGTCTTTAGCCATGACTATATTCACAATATGGCATGAAACTTATTTCACATCACTTTATCTACAAGTGAAGCGTGTAGTTTTTGTGCCACTGCCATCAGAATTGCTAAAATAATGACTGTTTTTAAACAGGTTTCACAAATAATCTCCCCATCTGCTATTGGTTGAACGGACAGAAAGCCCCGCTGCAAAATCACACCATTGGTTGAGCTGTTGCTATGTTTGGCTGGTCAGGATTCTCAAACATTAAGAGCAGTGTTTTGATTTTTTAAGGAAGTTAATTATACAGATGTTTCACTTATAGTTGTCTCTACATATTAACTTTGAATAGGAGTAATTTAAACTTGAAAATATGGCACATTTCACGTTTATGCAGTAGATAAAAACAGCCTTTAGCCTCGACTATATTCACAATATGGATATATTGAGTATTTTATCTCAGGATGGTACATTGATGGTGTATCATCATACAGGACCGGAACTAACTACTTTAATAAGTGTTATAAAAATGTATTGTATCTATTGAATTAATATTGATTTGTTAATGCTGTAATGAAGTTTGCTTCTAGCTGTCTGTTTTTACGTATAAGATGTGTTTCAAGGTGATAATTAGTCACCTTTTTCTCAATATTTTCAATAACAAGTATGCAGACATCACTGTAACTGCATGAAGATTTAGTTTTTTTCTCTCTCTCAAAAAAAATGTAAACACCCCTTATTTCATCACCACTTTCTGAATTCTGGACAATATTACAACATTTGTCTGACTTCTTTTGAAAGCACTCCTTTCTTGTGTGAATCCCAAAAGAAGTGTGCGCAAACACACTTACACGCATGCTTTTAAGTGTGCAAAGCCAGTGAGGTGTGAGTGGGGCTTCATTTAGCCATGAGGCGATGGGATGTGGCATGGTAGCTACTTCAAATTCCCACTTAATGGATCCTAATAACAGAGCAGAGCGAAGATGGACACAGTCTGAGTGGACACCCCTCATAACGGCCACCACGTTGAAAAAGAAATTTGTAGGTTGGATATTTCTTCCCTCGTTCCTTTAGGTAAGAAAGGGATCTGACGCTGGCGGTCTGTCAGATGTCTAGTAGTTGATTGGCCGATATGGATGGACATTGAAGGGACCTGTTATTTCCTTTCTTGATGTTAAGTACGCTAGCTGGTCTCAGACAGTGCCGTTTAACGCAGAATGTTTAACGCTTTTTGTGCCGCACTGAACTCGATTTTTACATTTTCTGGAGAACTGGTGCTTGGCGCTTGTTTTGGACAACTTGCCACCAAAATGCTATAGCATGTTGTTGGTGGTTGTTACCATAGACTGTAAAAAAGTTGGGTGATACGTCCCTACTTGTGTGATACGTGATTTCCTTCCACTGTAGAAAAACGAAGCCAAAATGTCCCAAAATGTCATTTGGATTCATAAAGTGGAGCCGCAGTATCGAGGTCCTGTCCGAACTCTCACAAACTCATCGCGAGCACACAATCGTGATGCCACACACTGTTTTTATAGCATCAAATAAAACCACACTTATTAGAAAAACAAACACTTGAAAACACCAGCATAATAAGAACTGCCTAAAATGACAGAAACCATCTTTGGGTAAAATTTATTTGAAGAGTAATTCGATTTTTTTGTTAGGCTCACATCCCATTCGTTTACATGGAGAGGGCGCGGTTTATGCCACAAGGTGACAATCAACATGTTTTGGCCTTACTTTTTAGGATGTCTGTGGCACAATTTATTGTATAGTTTCTAGATGGTTACTTACTAGCCCAGGTCAAAAGAGCCTACTCTCGGGTCTAGATTTTATACATCCTTTTTTTCACGTCTTTTTTTACCTTTTTTTTTTACCATGTTTTGGTCTCCGTCTTTCAGTTTCACTTTATTTTGATGGTCCCTTTAACACATTCTGTTGCCTATAAGTAATGTTGCACCTGCATATCTACTAACTCTCATTAGAGTGTTAGTAGAGTATTAGTAGACTGGTAGGGTTAGGGTTAGAATAAGTTGACGTGTACTTGCAAAGTTACTTATAGTCAGTAGAACGTCTGTTGGGAGACCATCACAATAAATAGTTAGCAGATATTAAGCAGACAGTCTACTAATAGTCTAATGAGAGTTAGTTGATATGTGGGTGCAAAGTAGTGCTGTCAAACAATTAATCGCGATTAATCGCACCCAGAATATTTTTTTTTGTTATATAATATTACGTTTTTGTTTACATAATATATGTGTGTGTACTGTGTATATTTATTACGTATATATATATATATAAATACACACATGCATGTATATATTTAGGAAAAATATGTTATGTTTATATATTAAATATATTATATAATATAATATAAATTCTATTAATATGAATATATACATGTAAATACATGTAAATATTTTCAAAATATATACTGTATGTGTGTGTATTTATATATGCATAATAAATATACACAGTACACACACACACACATATTATGTGAACAAAAACTGTTATTTTGGATGCGATTAATCTTTTGACAGCACTTGTGCAAAGTTACTTATTGTCAACGGAAAGTTCAAAAGGGACCATCAAAATAAAGTGTTATCCTTCTTTCTCTTTTCCTTACAGACAACCACGTAAAAACCCTAGCACCGTGTCTCAAGACTCTTGGGATAAAGTCTATCCTCCTGGCGAGGTCTTTCAGTCCACCAAAGAGAACCCACACTATTCCAGCTACCAGGGATCCCGCACTGCCAATGGCTACCTGGGCGCCGCCGCCACGGGCTTGAACGCTCGCGTCCTCCTGGAGACCCAAGAGCTCCTGAGACAGGAACAGAGACGAAAGGAGCAAGAGGCTAAAACCAAGCTACCTACTATGGAGGAGACACCAACCTCAAGCAAAACCCCTGTTCTTGCTCCACCCAAAGGCCCCTACCGACAAGACGTGCCACCCTCGCCCACCCAACTCGCCCGGCTCAACCGTCTACAGACCCCTGAGAAGGGCCGCCCCTTCTACTCCTGAGACGAGAGATCAAAACTGTAGGAAAAACTGTATGACAGCAATAATATTGAATGGAGAGAGACAGGGCTATAACATGGAGACTGCATAGAGGATTGGTTTTAGAGGTTTTTCTGAGGGTTGCCAAGTTGTTGTTTTTGTACTCTAGTATGGAATCTTTGTACACACTGAAGATCTTTGTCAACTATCCATCTCCTATTCTTACTTTTGACAATTGTGTATGTGTTTGTTTAATTCATTGACGTTATGGCACTAGGTATACTTGACAATCACATGACAGTCGCCTGAGGTTTTGATACATGGTTGTTTCCATCATATTGTGACCTACATACCTTGTTTTTGTCAAGTGAGCTGAGAAAAACAAGTAGGTGGGTGAATTTCACTACACCTGCCAGAAACATGTCTAGGTCATATTTCACCACAAAATCAAAAGAAAAAATGCAATATTTAGCTATAAAACGATGCTTGGTTCTAGGTCTATAAAGATTTTTTTTCTTTTCCGTTGTGGCATTTTCATCACTAGAGCCCTGTTCATGACATTCTTTTTTTAATATGTATTGTAGAAACAAATTAAGAATTTGTTCCCATATTTTACAATTTATATATATCCACATTATTTTCGCTGAGAATGAGATTTTTGATGCGTTACGCTAGTGAGAGTTTTGTGGGTGTAGGTGTACAGTATGTGTTCAGGGCGAGTGTGTTTTAGCCCATGTACTCCAGCAGTGTAGCTGAACTCAGCTAATAGAGTGCGGAAAGGTTATGACCCCACAACCCTCCGACTCTCTGCTACAGAAACCCCCATTAACCCATCATACTTCTCAGTTGCTCCTCATGTGTCGCCTCCCATCTCCACCCACTTCGTAATTGATTCTTCTGCTTTCTCCTTGAGTTAGTGGCCTCTGTTCCTCCACTACTAAGATGGTAAATGTACAATAAATGTGACCCTGGAGCACAAAACCAGTCTTAAGTTGCTGGGGTATATTTGTAGCAAAATTATTGGGATTTTTCTTTTATGTAAATTATGTAAAGTAAAGATCATGTTCCATGAAGATATTTTGTAAATTTCCTACTGTACATATATTAAAACTTAATTTTTGATTAGTAATATGCATTGCTAAGAACTTCATTTGGACAACTTTAAAGGTGATTTTCTCAATATTTTGATTTTTTTTGCACCCTCAGATTCCAGATTTTCAAATAGTTGTATCTCGGCCAAATATTGTTCTATCCTAACAAACCATGCATCAATTGAAAGCTTATTTATTCAGCTTTCAGATGATGCATATATCTCAATTTCGAAAAATTTACCCTTATGACTGGTTTTGTGCTCCAGGGTCAACAAATGTACAGAAATTCAGGAATTGGGAATTTTTCGTAACTTGTTTAAAATGCTTCCAGAAGAGCAAAGCATTTGGTTTGGTGCTACTAATAGAAATAGAAATTACATACTGTACCTTTTAAGTCAACATGAAGCAATTTTATTCAATAGCTATGATTTCATCCACCTATTTTATGGGAATTTTGGAATATTGCATAAAGAAACTCTGGATGGAAACACCAATATGTGCATAAATTCTAAAAATGTGAATAAAAAGGTTATAATTTCTTTATTCGATAAGAAGATATGCTCATATACTAAGATGGAAACACATTTAACGTATAAATTCTGCAGTGCAATTAAAAAAAACTCATGTGGCTTTGCCTCAACAGTGCATGTGATTGAATAACTGAACAAACCTGCACACCGTTGTCATCACATGCCATCTCAAATGTTGTTTTAGTCATTCTGAAATGCCTGAACCAAACTCTGCCATCAAAATGATTTGGAATAATGAAAGTGCCTCACAACATGATTGCGTTCTAAAACATCAGGTAACCCTACGCAAGATAGCATCATGACGTTTGTTACTGCGTTTCGTCTGCGTGCTCTGAGACACAAGTAATTTATTCTGTAAGTTTCCGTGGTTGCAGCAACTTTCATTGATGAAAGCAGTGTTTTATTTGCAAATGTTTCATGCGATATTCTAATTTTGCGCATGAGTTAACTTGCTGAATCTGGATGGAAACATAGCTAATGAGATCAAATGTAATTTTCTTCATCAGGAATCTGTGTGATTGTGAAAAATTAATTCTATGACAAGTGGTTGGAGGGGAGGGGCTTAAAAATAAGAGGGATTGATGATGTCATCCAAAATGGAAAATCATTTTAAAAGTGGAGCATGTTTTTACATTTTGATGAGAGACGATGTTACGTTGTTGTTGTTGTTGTTTTTGGGGATGTTCACAGATCTTGCATAATAACACCAGGAGCATGTTAACTTTAATGCTTCCTATCAAGGCAGTGTGCTTGTGTGTTACTTTTATACCCAGTAGGTGTGGGTGTGACTCTGACCTTTGCCTTCATACAAACTGTCTTTGGTTTCAGCGGCTCAGGCAGAGACTAGTTTTGTTCAGCACTTTAGTTTTTTATCGCACATGTTCCACTATAACACAACAAAGCTCAGGTTACAGCTCACAACGCAGTAGCCACGGATAAAGTCCATAACCTGTTTAAAGGAGCAGTTCACCTAGTAATGAAACTTCTGTCATCTACGCTCTCCCATGTCGTTCCAAAACTTGTTTGCCTTACTTTCTGTGGAACACAAAGTGTAGTCCATACTTTTCTCTCAAAAGGCATGTCAAGTTGCCCATATGAATTCTATGATAAAATTTGACTATCCCTTTAAATCCAGCTGCATTTAACTATTCATTCAAAAATTCAAACCACTCTAACAAACGTCATGTGACTTTTATGTGTGCTGTATGTTTTTTGATATGTGCACGTGTGTGTGGGTTTTGCGTGGGATTGTGTATCACCAGTGCCTGTAACATGACTCGCTCTTGTCTATGAACTGTATCTTGGCAGGCACATGAAACACTTGGCCACATTTTTCAGAGCTAAAGCTAAAAGAGCTCAATAAGCTCTCACAAAAAGGAAAGCCAGGCCCATACTCTCCTCCAAGTCTCTTCCTGGCGTCTCGCTCTGTCTCGGATCCATTCATTGTGGAAAATGTTCAGTATATCTGCTCTATTCTTCTCTGACTTCGGTACTTCCTCCCAAAATTGTTTGAGGTTCTGTGGTACAACATAATGTGCTTCTAATATTGTATCTACAAACACATTTCCAGAACAGCAGCATATATATATATATATATATTTTTTTTTTTTGTGGTGCTGGCTGCTTATCTACTATTTTATATCACATTGTATACATTAGACGTTTTTGTTGGGAAGTGCCTGTGAAGAGGGATGTTTTTGTATGTTAAAAGTTTAACGTGTCGCCAAATGAACATATTTTTAAAATGAAATTATTGCATTCCTTTGTCTTTCTCTGATCATACAGCATTTGTTTTAGTCGTTAAAAGAAAGCAAAGATTAATCTGCACATTTTAATGTATTTGTATGACATTTTGTTGTCTATGTACGTCGTAGGTACTATGGAGTTTGATTCCTGTATGCACAATGAAAATGGTTTTTACTCAAAGTTTTTACCTGATGTGTCAAAATATACACAAAGCTTCTCTGTACATATCAAATCTATATTCAATAAAATGTTTCTTCATTCTGTTTACAGTAAATGGTTTTGTTTGCCTTTATTTTAAAAAAGACTTAACCATCAAGTAAAATGTATGTAATATTTTAATATATAAGCATTTTATTATTCTTTATTATTATTATTATTATTATTATTTAAATACGTTAAAATGCAATTCATGATGAGCATGCTTTAACTGTAATAATTTTGACTTAGGAGAAGAGGGAAAAACATTTTATCACAGCTGCTTTACTGGTTATTATTATTTGGAAAAAAACAAACAAACAAAAATCGACATTGATTTGGCAAAAACGTCATGTAGTGAAACCAACATAGGCCTATAGAGGGGGTATTCCCCAAAACCTGCCTACTCTTCTGATTAACACTCAGAAGTATCTACTTTTTCATCACAAAAATAATACATACTTTTAGGGCATAGTATTAGTAGGCAAGTAAGTATGCAGTTTCCTGGGAAATCTATCCAACTCTAAAATATAAATAATCATTATAGGCTTAAAATAGTTATTTAGGGTAAGGCAAAAACATGATTTGGAAAATGTTGTTTTATTATCTACTCACTCATTATTTAAATTTTGTTTGTTAAAAATAAAAAAGTACTGTGTAGCTTTAATGTTTTAATGAATACAGACTAAATCTGGACAAAATAATGAGCATTGTGTCACTGACCCAACTACACCTCACATTTCATTGCATTCTGGGGAGATTATGAAACTGTCCTTTGGTTTGAAATTTAGCAAAAAAGAGTGATACATTACTCTCTGATGATCTAGTTGGCAAACTTTGAGCTTCAGTGTCAAAGATGATAACAGAAAAATGCGATGCTGAGCAGGAGAGAATTTTAACCTTTGTTCTCCTGGTATGGCGAGCACATTGAGTGGAAGAGAACAGAAAAAGAAATCGGAAGAAATATGCATCCGTTTTCCTCCCTCGGTTTAATCTTTTTCTGATCCCATATATCATTTTAATGATGGTTGTGACATGGCTGGCAAGTGCTCTAATGGGAAGTGTAATGACTTTGATGGAGATAAAGACAATGCTGGAATTTATGAAGTTCAGGTCCGGGTGAGAGCGCCTTTGGGAATGTTGGCTCTCACCATTTCTCAGAGAAATTGCCAAGAGTTGTTCTGCTGGAAAAAGGGAGGCCTATTGAAAAGATCCATATGTTTGAGCCTGTAGATGTGTATGTGTGTGTGTGTCTGTGTGTGTGTCTCTAAAGATAGACATGGGTCATGTCAAGAGAGCTTGAAGGAAAGCAGCAGGGAAGTGGGGTAGGCAAACGCCAGTGAAACACAGGAACGGAGAGCATAACCTGTCCTAGCTCAGCAGGGTCACCCTATGTTGGGTTCAGGTGTAGATTGGCACAACACATACCCAGTCACAGCAGCCGCGCACCTGAAGCTCAGAGCGGTCACGTATCGAGTCTGAACTCAAATCCTCCCCTCTGAGTGAACCCATGCCACACTGCACCGTCTGCTGTCTGGATCACTGTGACTCTGTGCTTTCTGCTGCTCACTTTTGAGACACACTTTCCACAAATAGGATACAGACTAGTGTTCCATTACCATGATGCACAAATTTAATGTTCTTTAGAAGAATAACTCTAAGATGTGGTTGATAAACTACCATCTATCATCCAATTAGCATAACATGAAACAGACTTAGATTTAAATGCAACAAATATATTTAAACCATTAAAAATGGTCAATTTGGCCTGTCCCACCTGACTTGTGTTGTGACTATTTCCCAAATTCAAAATCATACCAACATTTTGGCATAATGTGTTGTATTAAAATCTAATTCCTTGTAGTGGCGGGAGGT